CTGTCATGGTGGCACCTGCCGGCCAACTGCTGATGCTTTAAGATATATGTCCCTGCTCCCCATTTAAATAATGAGTTTGCAAGTTCTTGATATCCAATGCAGACAAGAAACAGAAGAGTGGAATTGCTTATATTCTTATAGCCTGAAGTTACAGCAACTCTTTTCCCACATAATATTTGCCAAAGTTAACTTTGTAAAGATCCAGTTTTAAAGACATGAATGGAGAAAAAATTACCTGATTAATCATAGAATCACAGAATGGCTTAAGTTGGAAGGTACCTTAAAGATCACCCAGTTCCAACCCCTGTCAAAGACTGGTTGCCCCCCACTAAATCAGGCTACCCAGGGCTCCATCCAGTCTGGCCTTCAACTCCTTCAGGTATGGGGCATCCACAACCAAAACCCCAAGTCCTTCTCTACAGGGTTCATCTCCCAGTCTGTACACATGTTGGGATTAACGTGACCCAAGTGCAACACCTTGCACTTGGCCTTGTTAAACCTCATTAGGTCCACAGGGCCCACTTTTCAAGCCTGCCCAGGTTCCTCTGGATGGCATCCCTTCCTTCTGTTGTGTCATTAGCACCACTCAGCTTGCTGTCACCAGCAATCTTGCTGAGGGTGTGCTCAATCCTATTGTCAGTGTCACTGATAAAGATGCTGAAGAGCACCAGTCCAGCATGGACCCCTGGGGGACACCAGTCATGACTGGCCTCCACCTGGACATAGAGTCATTGACAACAACCTTCTGGTTATGATCATCTAACCAATTCTTCATCCACCGAATAATCCAGCATTCATATCCATATCTCTCCCAGTTATAGATAAGGATTAAGCTCAGAGTCATTTGTCCACTTTCAAGCTTTTCAAAGTAAAAAATACGCACAAATCTATTTCTGTGTTCTTTGTAAAATAAAATTGTGCAGAAACGATCAATGAAAAACCAGCATTTTCTCTGAAGACTGTCAGCAGAGGGTACAGTTGCCAGTAAAACTGCCAGCAAGGAATATCTGGGGGAATTCTGTCATTTATCACAATAGAATCCACCACCCCTGCTATGGCTGGAGATTCCTACAATCACATTTAAATCTGCACACTAAATAGCAATTTTTAGCCATTCCATTGTCCCTTTTTCTACAGCTACTGAGGACAGAAACCACACAGCTTTAGAGAAATGCACAAAAGAAGGCTGAAACATCACAATTCCTTCTGTTACTTAGCAGAGGACAACAAAAGCCTCAAAAGCAGACCAGAGGAGTAAGAGCTGGGCTTGGTGGAGATCAGGAGAGAAATACAACTTTCTTTTGACAGCAATACACATTGCAACACTGGGGGAAGATCCCCCAGTGTGCCTGTCCCAGCACTTCAAGCAGCAGCTGTGTGCCGAGGTGCTCCAAGCAGCTCGTGCTGCTGGAGCTCTGCTGAAAGGCACACCTTGCCAGTGGGCACACAACAAGGCAGGCAGTCATTCTGCTTATCCTCAGCCAGCTGTCAGTGTCACAGTGTTTGGTGGGGTTCCTCTGCCACAGGTCCCTTCTGTGCAGTAGTTTTCTTTTGGCTTTCCATGAAAACAAACTCTGCCCAGTTTAACATCAGTTAGACACAACTTTGCGGCCTCTAGATGGAAGGGATTGGATACTTTGGTATGATTTTCTAAGGGACAAATTACACTAGCGTGGAGTCAGCTGAAAAACTGTTGGTGGGAATTTTGGAATGGGAGCTGGCATTCCTCAAAACCACATCTAAATGAAAGTGCTGTGCATCGTATGGGGGCAGGGGAAGCCTTGATCATGTTGTGTTGGAGAACAAGGCTACAGCCTCATTAGCTTTCAGGACGAGAGCCATGTGGAAGTAAATCTGAAAATTGCAATTTGCTAAATTTCTTCAGGCTCTCTGAGAAGGAAGATGAGCTCAGCATCATATACTGATTGGACTCAATAGTTCTTTCCTGCTTCTGCTTCCTGTGGGACTTTTGGCAAATAACCTCATCTTGGTGTCTTCCTTTCCCATCTGTCAAAGGAGGATGAAAGAGAGCTGGGCAGAATTTCACTTGCAGTGATAAGACTTTGATACTACAGTCCTGGGTAGCACGGATAAAAATCAAAATGTTGATGCCTGAGACAGAAGTTTCAGCACTGGTGCAATTTGTCGGCATCTCATGCTTGTTCCCACGCAAAGATGACTCATCAGAGAACAGGGATTTATCACACTGTGTCATCATGTGACAGCGAAAACCACCGCCATTGACTGCAAGAAAACAGTAAGATCCCAGTTGGAGACAAAGCTGGGTGAAGCATACCAAATGTTTTAATATACAGGAATGTATAGGAAATAACCCAGGCAATACAAATGTATGTCCATTAAGGCTTTTCCAATGCCTCGTTCCTTGGGCCAGGCATCCCATCACTCTGACCCACCTGGCACAACACGCAGTCCGGCAGCATCTTGTGCTGAGAGAAAACTCTGTAGCCATTAGCACTGGACGGTTTACAACAACAAGGAATAATTTCCAGCCATTTAGGGTCATTGCACCTGTATGGAATAGTCAATTCATTACCCCATTTAATTTGTGAAATGGCATTTTTGATCTTCAAAGTGTTTTACATCCCACACATTGCAGCAGTTAGCAAGTAATGAAGAGTAAGAATTAATTAATCCTAACCATATCCCAGGAGATAGGTAGGCAAACATTAATCTACTGACAGAAACAGAGCAACTGAGGTTATGTGATTTGTCCAAGGCCACAGTGGGTATTGAGAGGCAGAGCCAAGATTAGAGTGCAGAACCTTTGATTGCAAAGCTCAGTCCTTGCTTCTTGTGAAACATGCTTTGAGAAGGAGTATAATCTGCAAAACAGGTCATCTGTTTGGAAGAAGTCTTCACTTGTCTTCTGTATTTTGTTGGTACATTACAAGTGCATCCAGATCTTGGGGTCAGACAGTAAATACCGACTTTGGCTGATGTTTACACACACTAATACACATATACAGACTACATACAGCGTGTGTGTGAGAACAAGGCAGTAACAACAAAGTTTAGCAGCGACCATTCAGAGCAGTATGTGTCAGTGAATTGTTGCAGTGTTCCACAGGCAGACTGCTGCGTCAGGGCAACACACTTTCCCACGCCGGCTGGCTGTCCTGCAGCCACCCTGCTATGGAGCAGCCACATGTTAGTTAACCCCTCAGCCACACCGACAGGAATGTGGGATCCCAGTGCCTCCCATTGCGTATCCTGAGAACCTCACCACAGTCCATGATTTCTCTCCAGATGGTTACCATACTTTTGTGGTGACATGCACACATCAACACCTAATCGCATTTAAAATTTCAAACATCCTGAATTTTCTTCTCTATTTCTACATTTATTAACAAATGACATTCAATCCAAAATTTTAAAAATATGTGTCCAGTGTATTTCTGATTATGGCTCAAACAACTGAACACTGTGTTTTCTCTCTCTGGTTTAAAGTTCTGCACGGAAAAGGAATTTTTCCTTTTGCAATTAGTGCATACATAGGCAGATGTCATAATCTTTTCCCACGTTCTTTACAGTTCCTACCACTCTTACTTAGACCCCTAAAGCAGGCCAGCTCTACATCTTTTTGTTCTCAATGAAGCGCTCAGCATTTTGCACTCAGCTTATCTCATACATTTGAGATTTTAATTAATGACACAAGTGCTTTCCCAAAAGCTGGCTGGTCTTCCAGTTTGAGGAATACATGTGAAAATTAATGGTAGAAATGGACTTGTCCGTGTGTTGCTCTCATTGTGGTGGCTATGAGCTCTATGATCAGAGACTGTATTTTAATTCTAAAAAATACATCTGCAAAAGCCATCTCTTAGTAGGTAAAATACTTTCAGCTTCAGTTCTGCTTTCTGCTGTTTTGTGTACAGGAACGTTAAGCTGCTGTGTGCGGCAGAACGTGCAGGGAACCCAGAGCTCAGTTTGTTACCACGTTTTACTTTTTGTACTGCTTTCACTTTTCAGAGCTCTGATTTATTGTTAGCTGTTCCAAAGAGCACCTGTACATCTGCAGCACACACACTCCAATTCCCCAAGCCCACAGCAAGACCACTGCTAGAGTGATACAGGATCATAGAATGGTTTGGGTTGGAAGGGACCCTTGAAGGCCATCTGGTCCAACCCCCTGCAATGAACAGGGACACCACAGCTCCATCAGTGCTCAGAGCCCCTCCAGCCTGACCTCGGGTGTCTGCAGGGATGGGGCACCGCCACCTCTGGGCAACCTGTGCAGGGCCTCCCTGCCCTTATCATAAAGAACTTCTTCCTTATCTCCGATTGAAATCTCCCCTCTTTCAGTTCAAAACCATTCTCCCTTGTCCTATCACAACAGATTCCCCTTACAGTGTCTGTCCCCTTCTTGCAGCCCCCCTCTAGATACTGAAATGCATTTACGTACAGATCTACGAGCCCTTTATGCATGAAGCACAAACTTCTCCTCTCAGAGGTCTGAAGGCCGAGTGCCGACTGACCGAGAGGCAGCGATTTTGCTTAGTTTTGTTTCTAATTCAAACTGACAGGCTGTTAACACAGAGCTGTTTGTACTATTAGCAGGATATGGATTTATCTGAGCACGTGTGTACTTTCTTTTCATACGCAAACATGAGGAGCGCAGGGGGAAAATAAATAAATAAATGAGCAGGGAAAGCCCCGCGACCGCCAAGCCGGGAAAACCAAACAAACCGGGCCGCCCGCTGCCCGCACTCCGCTCCCGGGCCTGGGCCCGCCCGCGTCGCAGCGGAGCGCAGCCGAGCCGCGCACAGCCCGCGGCCCAACCGGCCCGCGGCCCTCCGCGACCCACGGCCAGGCCGGGCGGAGCGCCGACCCCGCCCGGGCGCGCGGCCGGGGCGGACCGCGGGCGGAGCCGCGCGCAGGGAGCAGGCCGCGCCCCGGGGGCGGCGTCGCAGAGCGAAGAGGCGGCTCCGCAGCCATCGCGCCTGCCCGGCCGGCCGCGGAGCTCGGCTGCAGGGGGAGGGGGGTGGGGGGGCGGCTCGGCGGCGGGTCTGCGGGCCGGGCGGGCCCCATGGGCGGGTGTGTGGGCTCCCACCACGACTCCTCGGGCAGCCTCAACGAGAACTCGGACGGCACCGGAGGTGAGCGCCGGGCCGCGGGGCGGGCGGACGGGCGGGTTGCCCCCGGCGCGGCGCGGGGACCCCTGGCGGGCGGGCGGGCGCCGCGGGCCGGGGCCTGCCGAGGGGCCGGGGCCGGGCGGGGGAACCGCGCCGCTCCGCGCCCGCCTTCCCCGCACCGCGCCCGGCCGCGGGGCTGCCGCCCGGGCCGCAACTTTCCCGGAGCGATGCGCGGGCGTGCTCCGAGCCCTCGGCCCCCGGAGGGTCTCCCGCCTTCCGCCGGGAAGGGGCCGGAGCCGGGGGGCCGGCCGGGCACGTGTGCGCCCCGCGGTGCTCCGCGGTCGGATCCCCGGCTGGGGGCTCTGCTGCTCCCCCCGCCCGCAGCGCTCCTGCAGCGCACGGCGGCGGGGCAGCGGCCTGCCCGGGGCTCCGGAACTTTGTTTTCTTTGGGTTCAGCTCCTTGTGGTGTGTGGAAAATAATTCTTCAGATAACTCAGGTCCTGGCACTGCCGTGGGTTGGGCTCTTTTCTCTCGCTTTTTATTATTTTTTTTTCTCTTTATTCTCTCCGAGAAAGATGGATGCTTTCTTCCAGCCTAGCTCACCCATGCTAACATCAGCTTCCAATGACTTCAGAAGCTGGAGCAGTGTGCTCTCGCTGTGTGGAAGCGCACACCTCCCGTGTGCAAACACTGCTGCGGTGTAACTGCCGTGTGCTTCCCTCCACCTAAACGTCTGACTGATTGCCTTTTCAATCTGAGGTTTGTGGACCCCTGATGTTCTCCAGCAGAGCTGTATGTGCTGTGCAGTCGTTTAAAGTCAGCCTGCCAGCACAACAATTGGTGTATCGGTCGTCCTTGCACATACAGGGGCCATGGATTCCAGGCTGAAAACTGCTGACCTAGATCTGCATCTTCCCCCGTGCCTTGCAGAGTGTTATTTATTGGTTTGGTTTCACTTCAGGCAGCCCAGCTGGTTGGTGTTCTGTCACATCAGTGACTTTACCATCATTCCATAATATATATACAAAAATGCAGTTCATACAGTTACATCTGATGCAGCCACCTGCTGATTAATGCCAGGTACACAGTTTACAGAAATACCAGGAAGTCCAGCTGTGTGGGATTTAATCACATCATTTACATTAAAGGAAATTGCATAGCTTTCTCTAGTGCAAGTCTTCCCTGCTCTTCCCATCTATTTAAAATAAGTAGTTCATTTTTTTAAAAAGTTATTCTTAAAAGCTGTGTTCAGTGCTAAGGAAACTTACCAGCCAGCAAGAAATGCAGAACTGAGTAAGGGACGTGGAAGTCAAGGAAAAAGAACAGCAGAAATCTTCATGTCTTCTAAAATCTTGACAAAAAAAAACAACATCAAAAAGCTGTGTTGACAGCTTTGTGAGGCAGGTGTTATGAGGTAAGATTGTGTCACAGAAATAGCTGTGGTTTAATTTCCTTACTGTTATCTTACCTCTGATGTCCAATGGATGAGATAGGGGGGAAAATAATTATTATCAGGGTTTTGCAGATGTTGTAAAATAGTAATGCTTTATTACGTGCTTGGTAGCAGTGCAGAGGTACGTGATTTCCATCCAAGTTGTGTAAAGATTGCTGTCCTAAGACGACTTAGTTGGAGCCCATTCCTGTAAATACCATGCATGGCATGACACGCTGCAGCCTTTGGGTTAATAACCCACTGTGCTTGGTGCATCAGAACAGCAGCTGGATTCCTCGAGATGTGAGATGCAGAATGCATGTCAGCTGGCTCGTGTTGATTCATGCTCTGAAGATAATGTTCCTTAAGGTTGTCTTGCTGAAGTGAGAAGTGATGTAATTTCAGTTGAATTCTGTGCTTCTTAGGACTGTCTTAAACAATGAGCTGCAGTGTGCGATAGCCTGTTCTGTAAGGCTGCGTATCTGTTCACCTCCAAAACAAAATAGGGGAGGTGGGGATATAGGCTAAGGGGCAAGAACTTCAGTACCTCTTCTGTTACATTTAACTCCCAAGGCGCTGAAGTGTCCTGCCTTTGCTAATCCTTAGGGTTACAAATTCTGAAAGTGTGCCCATGCTGAGAATGAAATCTGATGTGATCTCTGGAGGGACCTTATGTCTTAAGGCATCAGAAAACAAACGAGCTGAAGCCCCAAGTGAGTGTCATTTTTGAGCCCTTCCTGGACAGAACAGCAGCCTGCTCCAGATCCCGATAACAATGCTTACTTCCTCCAACTGCTGTTTTGTGACCAACTCAAGTGTAATCACTTTCAAATAGCTGTCAATCAGCAGAGCTGCCTCATTTTATAAATCTCAGGAAGATGTTTTAGAATAGAAACGTTCCAGTTCCAGCCAGAATGTTGCTGCTGATAGACTTACTTTGGAGGAGCTTTGTTTTTTCCTCAGAACAGGAAAGTTTCTTAAAGAATGACAAGCAGTCATGAGATTGATTAGATAGTAACAACAGTGCTTGATGTTGCATAAAAGCGGGAGCCGGATCTCAAGTCTAATTCATAGCAGCATCAATCTATTACAGTGCAGTGAAGAGCTGATGAAATCCTGCTAGATGATATCACTGGAATTAAAATCAGAATTTGTCACATCCCTGTATTGTCCTCCGAGCTTTTGTCAGTCACCGGCACTTCCAGTTATTTCCCTGCTGCTCAGCAAAGCTGACAGTGCCCAGACTGTGTGTGGTTCCTTTGTCTTTTCCTATTGGAAAGGTCAGAGAGATGCTTGCATTTATCCAGAGAGCTATTTAATGTACTTAGGTGTGTCTCTGAGTGTAAGAACAAGCTAATCAAATGTACCAGCTCATATGTGTGTGTGCAACTTACTGTGTGTCCTGTTCCCGTTGACCAAAGCAGGAGGAGTGTTACTTGGCAAGAATTAAACAGATGCTGCTCTGCCCATCCTGCTGGAGATGAAATGGTTTTTTCAGCTTGATACCACCTGTTTCATTATCCCTGCTCTTTTTAGTGGGTTTTCATTTTGATAGAATAGTTTTGTTGTATTTAGAAAAAAATGCTGTCTAAAGCTTGGGGCGTTACAGTCCAGCAGAGCTGCGTGGTGGTGTGTGGATGTCCTGGATGCTGAGGTGGATTTATTGGTGACTCTTTAAAGCAGATAAAAAGAACAATGGGGGATGTTTGTAGACGCAGATGTTTTTTTCCCATTGCTTTAGCTCAGCTGTCTCCTGTCAGACATTCCAAGCTTTCAGGAGCCAAGCAACAAATCTCCTCTTGCTGTGCCTTGTCAAAGGTGATGGAATTTCTGCAGAACAGGGAAATCGGGGGAGAAATAGCTGCTCTCTGGCTGCTTACAGCTTGTGTGGTGACCTCAGATGTCTGTTCAAAAAAGCTTTGAAGCATTGGGTTTGGAGTTAACTGCTGGAGAGCTCTGCGTTGTGCTTCCAAGTATGGTCTAACAGCTTATCAGGTTAAGTTTGGTTTGGCACAAACCAGAAAATTTGCCTTCCCACATGCAAGTCCTCTTCGGAGGGTTCTTATAGTTCTTTTCCTTTTCTTGGAGGGGAGGATGGGGAAGGTTGTGAAAGAAAAATGAATCCATTCATTTTCTTCTGGTAAACTCTCACTTCTGTTACTAGTTGCAAATTACTTTGTCTTACTTCCCAAAGTTCAGAGAGAGTTATCTGTGAAGAGTAACACAGGGCAAGAAATGCGATGTCCTGACGTGCTGGCATGACAAGTCATTACAGATTAAGTCTCTCGGCTGTGGCTGTCTGATTGCTGCTGTGCTCTCCTTGTCGGGATGCGAGCTGCCTGTTGGAGCTCTTATCGCCCTTCTTTGTTAGGTAAGACGATGATTCTGTTTGAAATTTGTCTTCTTTACTGCCGCCCCTATCACCCAGCAGTGATAATGGCAGCAAGCGGAAATAGGGCTGCACATCTGACGGCCGCACCAGAATGTGTGAAAAGTATCAATTATTTCTGCAGTATTTGGTACAGTGCTGGTGCTTCGTTAAGTTCTAGCAAGCCACATGCCAGGCTTGACCTCTGCTTTCAATGGCTGGATGACGGTTTCTGAAATATCTTCAGCTGAGTGACGTTGGGCTGTATATCACATGTCTGATCTGGAGTTACAATAACTGCTTTCATGGTGCTTCTATGGAAGGCTGACCAAGAGAATTTGCATATTAAGTAGTCAGATTTGTTGCTCACAATTGCACTAATACAGTAGGCCCATGCACAGCTAGCACAGGGCTTTTAAACAAGGATCTTATGACTGAGCAGTTAATAGCATTTGGTGCATACCCCGTATGTCAGCACACAAAGAATCTCCCAGATTGCATTTTGCAGTGTTTTAGCTGTTGATTGCAAGCCATGGATAGTGTGTGCCAGTTTGTAGCACCTTCCTGGGATTGTGGTGTTGTCTGAAACAGGTTGTTTGGGACTTCAGGTTGTTCCTGCTGTTTTATAGTGCAGCCCTAAGATAAGGTGCTGTTTTTGCAACTCTAATGCTAAATTCGGAACAAGCATTGGGCGTCACATCCTACTGTGGTTTTTTGTTTTAAAATGGGATAAGAAGGCTTAGTATGGTTCTCACAACTTGCTCTAAGTCTCTCATGATTTTTCACAACAGTACATGTGATTTTAATCAGGGTATTTTAATAAAAGCTATTAATGAATGACTTGGTTTTCTAGTGGCTGGGCACCTGCAGCCTACTTGGGTTCAGTGGGATGTGCAGTTTGGCACAGAGAGCACCTGAGGATCACTTTGATACCATTTGTAACCTCATAGGCTTTGTTTCTCAGGTGTTAACAAATAACTTTTAGAAAATGAAATAAGGTATTATTTTTACTGTTAATAAGGGCTGACTAATGCAGCTGTTCTGTTTCCTTTTTGGCATTGTTCCTCTGTGTAATTGTTTGTTTGGTTTCTAGATGAAGCAATTTGTTTTAATTTCTCTGCTTGGGATTTTGGTGTTGAAATCACTGAATATTAAATATAATAAATTGAACATTCTTTGTGCTTTGGAGATTTTTGATAAATGAAAACATGTTATTCATTGCCT